ACATTCAAACTCTCAGTTTATCCCGACAGGTGATTCCAATACGATATTTTTCCATGGTGTCGCGTCGAGATATTCGAAATTAGATCTCATGTTCATAGATGTTGATGGATCTTCTTTTCATGGAAAAAAGGAAAAACCTAAAAGAAAAAACCTGTGTCGAAAACATGTTGTTTGCCTTTTTGAGAGGCACAACTATGCTTTTCACACAAGCAAATGTGTGCCTTCGCGATGCAAAACAAGACGCATTTTTTCTTTGCCAGAGGCACAACTGTGCTTCATGCGAAAGCAAATCTGTGTTTCACATGGAAGCAAAAAACCGCAAATCCACGCCTCTCATGGAAGACAAAAGAACATATATATTTTTGCTTTTGCGACAGGCACAACTGTGCTTCTCGTGAAAGAAAAAACTCAAGAGACACAACTATGCTTCTCGCGGTAGTAGAGATGTGCCTCCACAAGAAGCAAATCTGTAATTTTCACAGAAAAGGCATAAAAAACCAGGAGAAAATGAAAAAACAAAAAAAACCAAAAAACCCATCTAAAGCCTAAAAATATGAAAAACAAATAAATAAACAAAATCCTGAGAGAGCGTCCAGAATGCGACACATGACGGTAGGTGGATATACCTCAACTCACCAAAGTGGCTTTTGAGGGGCTCCGGCAAGGGGTACCCTTTAAGTAATTTTATTTTCCTGGTACCCTTTAACTAGTTGCTATACTAAAAAATGGACTTGAAGTTTCTTTGCCGACACGTGGAAGCCTAGCCCGCAATTTTTTTTGGGCTGCAAAATGAAGCTCGAAGCCGACCCAGTATTTTTGGGCCAGGTCGTCGGACCGGGCTGTCGACGATCAGGTTTAGCACGGTGGCAACAAACCTAACAGCAGAATTTTGTCACGTTCCAAACAAGATAAGAAAGGAGAACCAATTGACGTGGCGTAGAAACTTCCAAAATACGACCCACGCGAGGAGGACGTCAATACGGGCAAACAAAAGGGGGGAGATCGTAAGAAGGCCGCAGAAAGAAAGGTCGCAGCTGCTCGCAAAGGTGAGTTTTTTCTGGAACCCACAGATCTTACGAGCCATCCTCCTCGAAGAACTCCAGTGCTCATCTTCTACTCGCCCCTGGCCTAATCCATCCAATCTTTCGGTTCAGAAGGCGAGGAGGGTGCGGTGCCTGGTCCAGATCTCGTGGCCGCCATGGCGGAGCAGTTCGCGGAGTCAGCGGTAAGGAATTTTCCGCCACTTCTTTCTTCTTCAGTGCGTTGTTTCAAGATCGCTCTTCTTTGTGGTCAGCTTATAGATGTGAGAGAGCGAGACGAGTTGTTCGCAGATCTGCCTTGCCCCTAGCCACCCAGATCTGCCATTTACCTCCCCGCGCCGGCGGGTGAAAGGACGGTGCTTACTTAGTCACCGTGGCTTGCGTAGCGAGTAGAAACGCGCGGTGGCCGGCCTCGTCGCTGACCATTGCGCATCATACATACCTATTTCTGTGGGCAGATAGTTAGATCTGCATAACTAATGCAATCATCTTATGTCTTCTCGGTGGTAATTGTAACAATATATCATGGTTCTTTACAATAGAAAAACGATTGCAAAGTGCTGAATTGTTTCAGAAGATTTGTTTTTTCACTTGCCAAGTTCGGCGACTGTTTGCTGCTCTGAGTAGTGAATTTTAATCTGTTCAAGTATTGCATAGTTGATCCAACTTGATTTCGTTGTTTAATTTGTGGCGCACCCCCTTACTTGGCTTGTGTCACGAGTACCTGAGGATAGTTATTGTAACTATTTATACCATGCGTTTTACTTCCTCCGTTCCTAAATATTTGTCTTTCTAGATATTTCAACAAGAGACTACATACGGAGCAAAATGAGTGAATCTACACTCTAAAATATGTCTACATACATCCGTATGTGGTAGCGATTTGAAATGCCTAGAAAGACAAATATTTAGGAACGGAGGGAGTACAAGTTTTCGACATGACGGCGTGTTTTACACTTATCTGCCTGTGAAAGGTAAATCATTTAGTGAGTGTAGCTGTTTTTCTGTGATTAATTCGACATCCTAAACTCACTGTTTTAGTATTTTTCTATCTAATGAATCCACTGAAATTGATTGTTGGCATGAATTGCTTTGTTGTTTTAAATGAATGTGTAGTTTCAGACACTGCAATATAGATGTTCTGGATGTCCCCGTTCATCCTTGTGCCAGCGAACCTGCATCTCTCACTTTGACCACTTAGCTTTACCAATCCTGTTTCACTTCTCACTTTAGCTGCGACTTCTTGTATTCCTAAAATAGTTTCTGCTGTGAGTGTAGAAACATGTAAATACATGAAACTTCAGCATTACTAATCTATTGAAATTAAGCTTCAGTTTGTGCTGTTTTCAAACTCGTGACTGCATACAACAGCTCTGTATTAGAAGTGTTTATTATTATATATTGGGAACGATCGTTGATAATCTGAGCATGCGAAACTGTGAAGTATGTGACTTTTTCTTGCTAACCTAGTAAGCTATAATCCGCGCAAGCTCTATGCACCTACGTTTGTTTTGTTTTCACAAAAGTATATATGCTATAGCTTCTGATAGATCATCTCTTTATCTTCAGAACAATGTAATCATCGAAGAGGTGAACAAGGGCCTGAACCCTGGAATGATAGTCCTGCTTGTGGTTGCGACCACCCTGCTGCTTTTCTTTGTTGGGAACTATGCGCTGTACCTGTATGCGCAGAAGACGCTCCCTCCGAAGAAGAAGAAGCCAGTCTCCAAGAAGAAGCTCAAGAGGGAAAAGCTGAAGCAAGGGGTTTCTGCACCAGGGGAGTGAAGAGACCCATCGATTTCTCATGTCGATTGCTTTATGCTGGGCTCCTTTTTTTACCTGATAAAAAATATATACCAGCTGGAGCTGCAGTGTTGAGCGACTGTTTATGTAGAAGCCTTGTCTTGAGTGGTACATCGTCGGTATTGGACACCTTATTTAAGCGACTGATAAACCTTAGCCTAAATTGAGCCGTTATCTGGTCATAGTTTTTTAATTTAAAGCTTTGATGGGCTTCATCTGTGGCGAACTTGTGAAACCTGTGTATCCGTTTGCAGTTTGGTATGTTGTGTTGCATTGTGGTTTGGCGTCCCTCAGTCCTTTTAAGTCGTCAAAGTTTCATGCTGCCAAAGATACTCCCATCAGTCCTCTGCCAGAGCATGTTGATCACTTTTATTGCCTGTGCAAAATTGACCGTCCTGCGATTTTGCTTTGTTATATGGGAAAAGGAGAGGTACTGTATTTGTTATCTTGAATGCAAAACAGGTAATCCCTTGGCACTTACCCCTCGAGTCCTCTCAAGTTATGAAGTTCTCATAATCCAAACTCCATTGCGCCTCAAACTGGAACCATGAGCTTTAGGAACTGTTCGGTCCACACAGCCTGTTTTGGTGACAATCATGTTGATATGTCGACCCCGTCGTCTTTGCTGAAGTGGACCTAGTAGATGACACGGAGGTGCCAAAGAGTTGATGATTGGCTCTAATTAGCTTTGTATACATGGACTAAAGGCAATGATTTTCAACTCATACCGTATACAGATTGACTCTTCAACTGAGCCAGCTCATACCAGGGTTTCGTAGATCAGGTCTCCTTTGGTTTAGATGAATTCCATTGGAATCCAGATCGGTCTTGTTTGATTCTTATAGGAATTTTCCCCTTTAGAGCTCTTTGGTTCATAGAAATGGATTCCTATTCCTACATAATAGGATTGGTTTCTATCCTCCAGGTTTTAAAGGAAAATAAATATTAAGCTAGAATCAATGCAAAATTTCCTACCAAATGTCAGATGATACACGGAAATGGTACTATAGACCGGCAGGGTGCTCATGGTTAACACCTTAACTACATACACCAGAGATACCTCGCACTGGTTGGAAAATCTGCTCCGGCTTGTCTCCTTTCCCGCTCTTCCCCTCGATCGGGCTAGCTGTTTGATCAAAAGATGAGAGCGCAACCAACTCAACAAGAAAAACCGACCTTCTTGTCCCATAGCATCTGCTAGCTAGCATGTTGCCTTCACTCCAGCTAGTGACCACTGTAGTGGCTGACGGACGACAACACGCATCCACCACAGTATTTGTGTGTCTTCCAATCCAAGCCTCGCGTTGCAGACGGCTTGTCTCCCTCGATCGTCTTCCTAGCTAATCCCCAGCTGCCGCAACCCAAAGCTACCTATCTACGTATCTAGTACTCCTATAGCTTAGCCATTCAAAAGGTACGCCAAACGGCCAAAGTGCAAAGAAAGACATATACAAGGAGACATGCATGCGCCGGCTCACCCGAATCACTTCCCCCGCACTGCACTGAGCTGCACAGTCCGATCCCTGTCGAGAGACAGCGAGAGGAAGAGTTACTTGCACTCGACCCCAGCCAGCCAGCCTGCCAGCCAAGACGGCACGGCAGCTCACCTAACACAGGCCAACTACAGGTGCAGGGCAGATAGTAGCAATACAATACGATCGACATGGTTTCTGGCTGAAGCGATCGTTGGTTGGTTCGGCGCACGTACATACGCTCCTCGCGCGATCACCCGGCCACATGCATGCAAACCACTGAAATGATGCTTCCGTCCTTCGATTTGAATTACCTCCGCCTTTTTTGTTTTGTTTCCTACCCGGGCCCCTAGCATTGCGCGACGCAGCCGTTTCACCTCCATTTGCCTTTTATACTGTACGTACAGCAGGATCGATCGATCGCATTACGAGTTCCGCGGCCATGTTGTATGTTGCGTAGACGATAAGCATGGGAGGGCGAAAAGCGACAAGGACTCGCCGCCGGTTGGTGATATCATATAAGTGGCGGGGAGCCGCCCCGGCCGTGAAGACAAGATATAGGAAGAAGAGAGAATACTACTACGCCAACTAGTAGCAACTCAAGAGTCGATTGATTACGTTACGTGACGTGCGTCGATCGATCCATAGGAAGGAAGGGAGGAAGGAAGGGAGGAAGGATAGTAAGATGCAGGGGGAGGTGGAGCAACAGCAGCAGGCGCCGATGCAGATGGTGCTGCGGGTGAAGCACCCGTCGTCACTGTCCAGCGGCAGCGAGGAGGCGTCAGAGGGGGAGGGGTCGTCCAGGTCGGCGCTCTCCGTGTTCAAGGCCAAGGAGGAGCAGATCGAGAGGAAGAAGATGGAGGTCAGGGACAAGGTGTTCGCGCAGCTTGGCCGCGTCGAGGAGGAGTCCAAGCGCCTAGCATTCATACGACAGGTAGGTACCTAGGAGTAGTAATACTTTTCAGTTGAGTCATTAATATTGGAGACCCAAAATGACGTACTCTTGAACGATCAGTTTGTTTCAGCTGAGCCACTGAAGTTTGTAACAACAAAAATGATACTGAGATTGAGCCTAAACCATCATAGCTTTGTGTTTGTGTTTTGTAGGAGCTGGAGGGGATGGCCGATCCTACCAGGAAGGAGGTGGAATCAATACAGCGGCGGATCGACACCGTCAACCGCCAGCTCAAGCCTCTCAGCAAGAGCTGCGTCAAGAAGGTGACAAAGACTTCCTGGACGTGATAGAAATTCTACTTACTTTCACTGCATGCATTCGTACGTAAATTGGCATGTGGACTTAATTGTTCTTGAATTGAGAAAACTTACAAAACAGGAGAAAGAATACAAGGAGATTCTCGAGGCGTACAACGAGAAGAGCAAGGAGAAGGCCATACTTGTCAACAGGCTAATAGAGGTGCATCACCTCGTCTTCTTCTTGTCTTACTTATAAATATATCTGTCAGATTAGTAGCATTGATCACTTTACTCGGCTCTTCATCTGCAGCTGGTGAGCGAAAGCGAGAGGATGAGGATGAAGAAGCTTGAAGAGCTCAACAAGACAGTCGATTCACTCTATTAGTTAGACGTAATAATAATGTTAATTACCACCCCCGAGAGCTTAATTTCGCTGTGCAATCTCTGTCCGTCCCATGGATTTGAATGTATGTGATCTGTACGTGTCAGCTTGTAACTCACACCATGTCGTGAGCGATTCTTCTTTAATTTTCGCCTTTCTTCTTGCTTGCTTCCTTGTGATTGACGGGTTTGTTGAGTCCATCTTGTTGCAGTGTCGTTGTCGACGTATTTAAACGAAAGGGACCAAGGAACAAGACTGACAAAAAAAGGGTGAACATCGCTGGAATTGGTGTCGTGTGTGTTCATTCATTCTTGGCCAATGTTGATCGTTCATCCATTGTTGTCGTTGTTAGCTGCAGCTAATATGCTAGAGAGGCCGACGGGACGTGCCCATTGATTCTTCCGTTAATACTTAAGTAGCCCACCTAGTACTGTCCCAAAAAGGGTGCTCTTGCAGTTTCCGATTTGAAAGGTCAGCAGCTCAGCACTGTCGATCTTGCAACACCATCAGCACCGATCCTGCTGGTCAGCAACCACCTCACTGACACCCATAACGAACTGGTGGGTGGCTAGAGCCAGCGGGTACTAACCAGGAGGTTAAAACGTCACGTTTAGCTGCAAAACTTGGTCGGATCGACCTAGGTAACATTTAATTAAGCTCCAGGAAAGGAAATGATGAGCGCTTGCTTCTTGGTAGATGACTGACTCATGATGCAGGTGGCTAGCTGGTCCCTGAGTGCTGAGTGAGTGAGTGAGTGAGATGGAGGGGTAGCCATGACTCATGATGCTGATACATATAGATAGGCCATCGACGAGACAGGCCACATGAACCCCAGGTGATTAGCGCACGCAAATTAAAGGCCCAAGACACGAAGCTAGCTATCTTTTGGCTCCATGCCGGAGCAAGGACTGATGAGTATGGACCAGCTGGTATGGTGTGGTGACATTACATCACCGAATAGGCGAATAATGTCAGTACTTGTGGCTCCAGCCATCACGCCATCAAGCTGTTCAATTATGGTACGTGCATGCTTAGGTGAGTACGTACTTACTGGTACGTCCACCGGATCGTCAGTCCTTGTCATGTCACACATCTCTTCACTCCACTCTCTGCAAGATGGTGCTGGTTACAATGCAAAGTCGTAGATGTGATTGCTGCCTATTGCACTTGAAACAGTACGCCGAGAAGTAGATGAGGGCAGTAATGGCGATCTGGCGCTGGCATCAGTTTAATGAGCCAGTTACTAGTTGGCGCGCCGTACTGGACCCGAAACAAAACTGTAGCAAAAGGCATTGGCTGGAGTCGGGGTCCGTTTATGCATGTCCCCATTTCGATGAGGAGGAGGTGGATTAAAGCTCGAAAGTGATAGGCGAGACTGACCTGCAATCGTATTAGCACACGTACGTACACGGCCGCGTACAATAAGTCAATATAATGTTGTCAGGCTGTCAGCTGTTCTAGTGCTCCTAATTTTAGGTGACACCACGAAAAGTACGTGGATTGTTCAGCCATCACAGGCAATATAGGTACTATGACTTCTTAATTAGGGAAAAGGCCCTGTATTTGTATTTATGTTAAAAGGACTTCCGATGATACAAGACATCTCAAAAACTAGATGATGACACGCCCATGTTGCAGCGGATATTTGTAGAAGGCACATAAAACAAACGATTGTGTGACATGCACTCAACCCTTCATCAATATTCTTTAGCCTAGATGATGGGGTATCATGCTATTTGTTATTTTCAGGTAGACCAGACAAGTGTGACGCACCTAAATACAAACGAGGTTGCTACATCTTAGTCGACCGAGACTTAACAATAAAATCTCAGTCGATTCTATATTCGTCAGATCTTACATCGAGATCCGTATAAAAAAATATTTCTTCTTTTTTATATGTTTCATCACTTGAATAAGACCTCGTTAAGTCTCCTCCGACTGAGATTTGGTCACACCCAAATACAAACTATCTAAATTTATTTTAATATAATATATATGGAGCTTCCATCTAGAGCAACAGTGCATCTGGAAAAAGAACAATGGTACAAAAATAGAACAACAAAAAGGATACAAGAGAATATGCTGTCCATGTACTACTTGTCCTCGGGGTGGATCCGTCACTAAACCTAGCATGGGTGGCCCAGCCCGGCGTTCCGGCCGGGCTCGAGCCTCGCTTTCCCACCCACAGCCCATCCCGAAGCCTAGAAAAGCTAGAGATCACGTGATTTTTGGGATATTAAAGGCAAAATTTATATAATATAACATCATCTAATCCCAAAATTATTATTATTATTATTATTATTAAATACAGAAAATCAGACACCGGGCCTCGTGCCTCGGGCCGGGTTGGGCCCAGACTTGGGATTTAGAGGGCTTTGTAAACCCAGCCCGACCCGATCAATGCCCAAGTTTACCTGTCACCACTCGTTTATGTGGCCGTGAGGTGGATCCATTCCGTTTTCAGTAGAAAGACACGGTCACAATCCTTCTCGCGTGGTTTTTTTTTTCTGGAAGACACCTCCTTCTCTCATGTAGAACTCTAGTTGCTACACGGGCTTCGAGTAGGTTGGAACCTTTCATTAGGATCCACTGGGGTGATACTACTGTTTAGCTGCCCTTGAAGCCTATTCATGATGTTCCTAGCTTCCTCGTCTCATGCTGGTATCCTGGCTCACAACTCTTCTATCTCCAAGGTCACAGTTTCTAGGAGGAATTCGGCCGAGCGGTGCGATGTGTATCTGCTCCTGGCTCGATGACAAAGACGTCCAGTGCTGGCGTAGGTCCTACATTACCCATCTCTTTACTTGGGCTTGGGACCACGCGAGACGATCTTCCACCGACCATATCATCTGCCATAGCACACATTGGCAGGATCTTGTTACTTCTTGACGTGATTGAATTCGAATTGTAGGCTAGAGAGCCCTCGGAGTATGCCTCAGCTACAAACCCAGTTGGCCAGGGGTAGTAGCCGCTCTTGGGGTATCTATAGCTTTGCGATTAGGACATGAACGGTACCGTCGAGCTGTCTGCTAACCCATACCATGGCACTTAGTATGGGTAATACAATGGCTGATAGTACGCTGCCCCACCCTTGCAATGTAGTTGGAGTATGTTGTAGGGGATCCATAGTAGATCCCAGTGCAATACGTTGAGTAGTCTTGGTCGTAGCGCGTGTTACCGGTGTAACCCTTGGTCCGACCGGCTTGGGCCTATGAAGTCGTTGATGGGGTTAGAAGTGTCGATGTAGATCCACCCAAAAAGGAATAGTGAGGTGAAGTTCCTCTCCATGCTGAAGGAGCCAACGGTGTTGATGAAGTTGATGTTGCTTTGTGGATCTGATCCAATATTAATTGTGAAAAGGTCGGGGTTGTGGTATGTGGCGTGTGTCATTGTGGATCACTTTTCGACCATTTTTTCGTATATATCGGTTAAATCTCTTCTTCTCAATGAAAAGGTAGAGCGCCTGCCGGTTGCTAAAAAAAAGTCAAACTCCAAAAGTCAAAGTTAAGCACAATCCTCTCTTCGTCTTAACGTAACGCGGGAGCTTCCGACCCTTTGACAAGGTTCCGTTAAAAAATATTAAGCCTAACCTAACATCCTCTAAAATCATGGTAGTCCCTGTAAGATACTACCTCTCTAACATAATATAAGACAGTTTTGTAGTTTAAATTAAACTACAAAAACATCTTGTATTATGGTACCGAGGGAGTAAAAGAAACAATCGCAGTAGCTGTCCACATCTAGCTTAGGCTAGCCATAGTGGGAGTAACTTAGGTAGTAACATAACACATCACAAGAAACAATTGCTTATGTGGCATGGAGTTAATGAGGAAAGAGATGCTTATGGTAACATAATATGTTACTGTAACATAACATACCCCGAGGCAAAATGAGTCTATATCTCAATTAATGAAGGCTTGCATGTTACCATCCACATGTTACTACCCACTATGAAGGTAGTAATATGGACTAATAACATATGCATGTTATTTTTTTTTTGAGTATCACATATGCATGTTACTAGTCTAAGTTACTCCCCACTATGACAATCCTTATCCTCAGGCCTAAACGTGGGCTGTATTTTCATACACGTGAACCTTTTCTGTTTTTTTTTTCAGGGAGCCTTTTATGTTTATACTAAGTAGCAGCGGTGCTAGGCAAGTGCTGAAGGAGCAAAGGACAGCACGATCCGTGTTGAGCTCATCGTGCTCCGGGAAAACGGAGGTACCATGTAGCCCCATCGGTGGACCGTGCGCTTGAAAATGTGGTTGGCACAGGATGGAGATGATTAAATGGTCCTGCCACGTAGTACTGTACTACATAAGTTAGCAAGCCCCATCTGGCTTCGTAATTATCCAGTTAATTTTTGTTGAGCGGTACGTCACGATACGTACATAGCTTAAACCGGGAGGGCGTTTTAGGGTGCATTTGCTCTCGTACAAACAGTAAAGTTAAAAAGAAAATGTATTTTTTTTAAAAATGATTTATTTGTAGATATTTTTGTTAGGGTCGCAAACGTGCTTGATAATTTTCATGCAAAACAGAGTAGCAGTGTTTTGTCGGTGAAAAAAATAAGTTTGGGTGTAACCTTTGGTGTTCAATTTGTTCCTGTGCAAGTTAAAATGCTTAACCTTTTTACCTAAATATTTGCAGGTAGCATTTGAATGTGACCATGAACACATCGAATTACTTGAGATGTTTTTGATATTTTAAAAATCATTTTCCACCCGCAGGAGCACATGCACCGGAAGCCAAACTGAAGTTCCGTACACCTTACATGTTAGAAGGCCCACCGTGAGTACCACCCGATGTGGTTTTCTTTCTGATTTGCTGTTCAGTCGCTAGTAAAGCAATATCGCTGGCGCATTCGGTACATGATGACGCCTAGGAAGAAGATGGAAAGGTTTATGCCGTACATCTACCAGTTTTGTTTGCAGGTACCTGTCCTCTACTTCCTTCGTCCGAAAATACTTGTCATCAAAATGGATAAAAAAAGATATATT